GTCATTTACACATGTTTTTACCCCCGTTCTTACACCGTTTGAGGCGTTGATTCTCGTGTTTTAGGCCGATTTCACGCTAGGTTGTGCTTGTTTGTGATATTTCAGGTCCTAGTACGTGAATGAAGGCTTAGGAGCGAGTCTGGGGTCGATTGGACGAAGAACGGACGAATGGCGAGGTTTTTGGGGAGCTGCACGGGCAGACCAGGGAGGCTGCACGGCCGTGCACGGTTGCAAGCTGGCCGTGCGCCTCATGCCGAGGAGATGCACGGGCAGGCCCTGAAGATTGCACGGCCGTGCACCTGGCCGTGCAAGAAGCCTGAGTTCGACTTAAGGGATACGCTGCGTTTCATGGTGCACGGCCAGAATGGTGAGGTGCACGGCCGTGCACCCTGGCCGTGCAACTCGGGGAAACCCGGTTTTAAAGCCTAATCTGAGCCAGAAGTGAAAGAACAGTGTTTTCAGAGCAACAACAGAGCCCTAGAGAGAGAAAGTACGAAGAACACATCCTAGAAGCTGTCTTAGAGCTGGATTTCATCGAATCGAGCCTGGAGATCATCATAGGAGTGAAAATCATCGTCCCGGAGCAGATTATCCTCATCGTTATGAGTATGACTAATCCGATTCTTGTTTTCTCTTCTCTCTCTATGGAGTAGAACCCTTCTCTCACTTGGGGATGAAGAACCCTAGTTCTATGTGTTAGGGGATTGATTGTAATGACTTGGGATGATACTACTGTTTGATTTTAATCGAATGATGCATGTTTCGTGAATTGATTTGAGTCTGATCAGCTTGTCTCAATTTCTGCTTCAACCTGAGATAGATAGAATCTGATTAGGTTGTTAGAGCCTCTTCATTCGATAGTAGGAGACTGGTTATACGAGAGTTAGCCAGTTTACTGCTCTGTACTGGAATCTAATTCCAGTAGTGAATTTCTGTTCTTACTGCTTCAGCTTTCTATCCCGGTGAAGACTAGTCGTCTGCCGGGTAGTTAGACTGAGAGGGCTTGGTCAGCTTAAGAGATTCCAAGCTACTGTCGGATCTTCCGCAGTCTAATCAACAGTAAATCAACCCAGGGAATTGCAATTGAACCTAACTAAGGAGCTAGGGGGATTCATTCCCGAGTGACTCTTTCCTGCTTAAGAAAACCGAATAATTTCCTGCTTTATTTCTGCTTTTAGTTTAAACAACAATCACTTACTCTAGTTGGTTAGATAACAGAGAATCACTGAGTAAGCAGTAGATCTAGACCCCGGGTTGATAATATAACTTGCCTGTTACTGCATTCCCGGTCTGCGATTACACTTGGTCGCAGATTGGTGTTGTGTTTTGGCGTGCCAAGCTACCCGGAGGTCGCCCCCCGGCAGGCAACACCTGGGGATTAGGGATTTTTTCAGAAATAGCACCTTTAAAAAAAATTACAAAAATAGCACCCATCCGAAAAAATTTACACTAATAGCACCCTTTTTAATAGACCGCACCTTATAGGTGCGTTTTATATTTAAACCGCACCCTAAGGGTGCGTTTTATAAATAAACTGCACCAGTAAGGTGCGTTCCAATTTTCTGGACTCAAATCGCATTTTGGCCAAGCGGTTTTAGGTCTGACCTACAGAAACCGCTTGGCCGAGGTGCGGTTTTAGGTCTGACCTATTAAAAACGCATCGTAAAGATGCGGTTTGTTTCTCCCAAATAAAACCGCATCCTAACAGTGCGATTTTGCCATACAAACCGCACCTTGAAGGTGCGGTTTTGGTCAATCAATTTCCGACATGCCATGCAGACATAGCAGACGTGGGTCTGCATGGGCCTGCATGGCAGACAAAAACCGCACCTCTAAGGTGCGGTTTTCATCAGTGATTTTGCCTATAAAAGGCCTTCCGGACAACCACTTCTCTTCACACCTCTCATTCTCCCTTTTCAATTTTCTGTTGTAGCTCTATATTTCTTTAGTAGTTTTGCGGTTAACGTTAACTCGTAAGTTGATTTAGTATTACTTTTTATTGTTATTTTTGATTTTTGATTTTTATGATATTAACTGAACTACGGTTTTATCGCAGATGGCATTCCAAAAGTTCACGCTTGGCTTACGGTGGAATGGTTACACGGAAGAGACCGGAAAGGGGGTCACCTACGTAGGTGGCAATTTTCAGAAGATAAAGGTCGCTACCAGACCGCTGCTTGAAGACCTCCATCAAATGTGCACTAACGTTACTTGCATGGATGGCACGAGAAGAGTTGATCGTATGGTGTACCGATATCCAAACAGAGAAAGTGGGTCATTGTGGCATGAGGAATATCTCATAACCACTCAGGATGAGGTAGACGCCATGCTCGAATTCATGAGGTCCAACAATCTTTCCAAAGCCGAGATGTTCGTTTACACCGAGCCAGTCGTAGGCGTTGGAGGTTATTCTGGACACGGTCAAGCATCTGGTATCCATGGTGGAGTTGAATTATATGGCGATCATCCCTACCAAAGTTACCATGATCCTCATTCATATTTTCAGTACCAAGAGCAAGGTGAAGGTCATCATCAATCATATGAAGAAGAAGTTCAACCGGACCTCCCCAACCAACCTCAGTACAACTTCCACTCAGGCATCGGTAGTTTTCACAACTACCATTATGGAGCTGATGAAGGTGCCTTTCATGAGCTGGATCAGATGGAGGATGTCATGCCAGCACCAGTCAGTGACCCCTCCGATGAAGAAGGAGAGAACAACGTCAGTGCAGACAGCTCCGACCCTCTTGAAGGTGCTGATGATTCAAGACCAGAGTCAGACTCAGCTAATGATGATGAGGTGGCTCGTGACCGTGTACCAGTCCCCTACTACAATCACATTCTAGACGACAATTGGATGGTCGACAGTGACATGGAGCCGCCAGAGGTCCCAAATGGGGTCCACTCACTGGGTTTATGAAGGGCCAACAATTTGGCTCGAAGAAGGAGGTGCGGCACGCCATTGAGACAGAAGCAATGACTCGGCATTTTGAATGGCACACAACTCATTCCAACACTAAAAGGCTCATAGTCAGATGCCGTAATCATCACGAGGGGTGCAATGTTAGGATTCGGGCCATCAACAGCAAGAGACACGACCACTAGGTCATATCCCGTGTGGTGAACACACACACATGTGTGTCATCTATAACTTCCCAAGGCCATCGACAGTTGAAATCCAGGGTGGTTGCTGCGGCTATCAAGCATATAATTGAGCAAGAGCCTCACCTGAAGGTGAAAGTCATAATCCCTGACATTGCAAGTCGTTATGGTTATATGATTAACTATAAGAAGGAGTGACATGGAAAGCAGAAAGCTCTGGCCGCCGTCTTTGGTGATTGGGAAGAATCATATGCATTCCTTCCCAGGTTAATTTTGGCATTGGAGGCGTCTAACCCTGGCACGGTTTTCTCCCCTCGATACCAAGATGAAGAGATACAACCCCCAGAGCCAGGTAACAAGCGCCATTTCAGACGACTTTTTTGGGCATTCAAGCAATGTATTGATGGTTTTGGCTTCTGTGTCCCTGTCATCCAAGTGGATGGTACATTCCTTACCGGCAAGTACAAGGGCACTCTCCTGATTGCCAGTGGGGCGGATGCAAACAGACAAGTCTTTCCTTTAGCCTTCTCCATCGTTGAGGGAAATAAACATACTAAATTAACTAAATTAAATGACATTGTTAATGAAGGGTAGAATAGGGATTGTCAATTTTTTTTTCTTTCCTCTATGTAACGGGTCAACTTACCGTATACATGCAGATTTAAACGAGCTCGGAAATTGTTGCGGCCCACAAAAACATAATAGGTTTCTTTAAGCTCTTTAATTTCTCGGTGTTGGTAAGATATCTATGAAAGGGAAAAAAAATAATACTCCTTTTTATTGCTAAAATGAAAAAATTCAACAATAAACTAATGCATGGATTCTAATGGGCTAACAACTAGCCATAAAATAAAAGAGTTGAATGGACATGACCTATACGGAATTTGGCCATGAAGTAAAACAAATGAACATCATGGGTTTGTCATCCTAAAACAAGCTATTTTCTCTAGTATAACATATATTATGCTATTATTTTATATCTTAGTGGCTAAAATATAATGTATTTTAAAGTTATTAAATGGTTCAACCTCGACCAACCCAATTAGTCCAATTTTTATCATTTCAAATATATATTATGTAATTATTTGATATCATAATGATTAAATTATAGTTTATTCTATAGGGAATCGTTTGATTTTTGTTAGTAAAAAACTAAACAGAACTATCCGTTTGGTTATTTTGAACATTAAAAGGATCCTAAACATTTTTAGTTTCCTTTCGAATTTCTATGGTTTTGTTCTCGAATCAGTGATGTGCAAAATGACAAATTGCAGTCGTCTCTTTTCTTTCACTATTTTTTATTTTCAAATAGAAAGTTTAAAAGTAAAGAATAATTAGAGTTTGACATGGGTCGGTCAAACATGCCGAATTTCAAGTTTTGGCCCGTTATGATCAAGCCTAATTTATAATACAATGGTTCCCTGATACCCGATAAAAATCTCAATCCAAACCAGTTCGACAGCTGAGTCCGTGTTTACCACCATTTTCCAGGGATACAAGAACAACAGTTCTATCCAAAATCGTGTTATTCGTTCTTGATTTTTTTAGATTTATCATAGCCTGACAAAAACCAGAAAGCACAATGACGACAAGAAAGTTTTATAAAGCAAATTAATTGGCCAACGGGCGGAGTAAAAGCTAGCAACGATTGTGAGATGCTCATTTCCCGAAGATCGGCGGGATAGACGATTTTTTATTCGGTTTTCTGGAATTCTATTTCTATAAAACTTACTCCAGCTTATCATATTACCATAAATAATATTGTTTCACTAGGTAACATGTACTTAATTTTGATTCGTTGCATCATCCATGTCTCTTTCCTTCTAAAATTTACTATCTTTATCAAGTGTTTCCAATCAAATCTATACACCAATAAACCATATACTCCATTAGATTCTCAAATTTCATACCTCATCTTCCTCCGGCCAACTGAGCGGGACCCAAGTTAGTATTTATTTAGAACGCGTGGCCTTTTCCCAGTTCCCCCTAGACCCTAGTCAGCTACCGACTACCGTTACCCGCCAAAGGGGAGCGGAGTTTGGCCATAACGATGTCGTATGAGTCTTTCCAACCAGTCACTATTAGAGCGAGGAATCAGATTAGTTCCCCCCCTTCTTCACCATTCTCTGCAGAATCAGCAGCAGCTAGGGTGCACACAAAAAAAAAAAAAAAAAAAAAGGTGTTCAAAGGTTGCGCCTTTCGTCGTCTACCTCGTAAATTCTCTGCGAACACCCTTCACACTGTTTGGATGTGTATGGCGGAAGACCCAGCTCGTCTTGGTGCGTAGTTTGCTTGCAGGTTCTAATTCTCTCTTCCGCCTAAATTTTGCTGGTTTCTGTTGAGGGGATTCGATCTTTATGTTCCCTTTTTCCAATGGATTTTGAAGATAGGAAATTGAATCTTACTTTCCCCCCCGTGTCGGGTATTTGTTGTTTCTTTTTAGCCGATAGATAAGAGCGAGAAGATTGGCAGGAAGAACGAAAAGGGAGCGAATTCATCCTTTCTAGGGTTCTTATTTTCTGGTTTTGTTCAGGGTGGGAAAATATGGAAGCGTCCTCTTCTTCGTCGTCGGTGATATCTCCGGAAGACGTGTTGGAATGTCTCATGAACGACGGCACAATTGATGCTCTGAGATTGAAGATCATCAATCAGCTCAAGGCCAATGTACACCATATCTCTCTCTCTCTCTCTCTCTCTCTCTCTCTCTCTCTCTCTCTCTCTCTCTCTCTCGTAAATTTCAATTTGCCTCCCCTTACTAGTGTTGTTTGAATTGATTAGTAAACTTTGAAATTTCTGATGGAAATTTCGGAATGCCTATTGTTTGGCTGATGTCTGGTTGGAAATTTGAATTTTCTTACTGTTAACGAGAATACGAAAGAGTTTCAGAGAATCAGGTTATGTTGATTTATACTGATGAAGAGAATCAACTGTTTTTTACTCCCTGCAATGGAGTGGGGTTAAAATGTGCTTAGTTATAGTTTGTGGTTTCATGATTGAAAAGGAAAATAAATAAATAACACAACTGGTCTCCTCTCGAGTCCACGTGGCCCGATTGATCGATCGTCTCGTTTGTTGAACCCGTACGGCATTATTTGTTAATGCTGTCGATCCTCCTGTTCTTTATAATTATACAGGAGGCTCATTACTTCAATCAGGACTTAAGCTTTTTGTTATGTTGGTTGTTTGATTGGTGGTCAATTCGAGTCAATAAGAACAATGGTACGTTGGTCAGAACATTGAAGCGTTACATGCCTGGTCACCGTGAATGCAATGTATCAAGGATTTTCTTTCTCTAAAGAGTTAGCATTTCATTGGTACTTATAACAGAAACTATGATAATTTCTTTCTCTAAAGATTTAACATTATATCCGAAATTATATTGGAAACCCTTGTCCATGGCCTCTTCGTGATCATTAAACCTTTTGTTTACTAGAAGAACGGTGTGTCCTACGAGTTAATGCTTCTGATACCGTGTGCATCTTATACATCTTCTGAATGCTTTTTGCATCTTGGAAGTAACTGATTGCGTAAGTAGCTATAGCTCTTTCCTCTTTTTTTGTTTCACAGGAAGAGCTGAAGAATACAACCATCAAAATGGCCGAGCAGAGTAAGGTTTTAAATACCCCTGGCGCAGAGAAACAGACCAAGAGGGAACTATTCGATGCACTTCGACAAGAACTTGAGTAGGTGTCTCTATACGTTTTATTTTCTCCTTCCTTTTCTGTACTTGAAGCTATTCATTCAAAGTTCAACCTGATCCAATTAGCTGCATTTTCATATTCTTGTCATTTGTAGAACTCCGGTGCTCGAAAAGGCTTCGAAATCGGTATGGGAATTGATTCTGGACAACAATGGACTGGGGAAAGAAATAAGTGAAACGGTCGAAAGAGTGTTCTGCAAATTAAGCGGCCAAGAGCCTCCGTTGTTTCCGCCTCCGAGTAATCCTGAACCACAAGCTTCCAGGGTGAAAGAGAACAAGAAAGAGGCAGAGAAAGAAGAGGAGTTGACGATAGCAAGTCTGAAGGATAACTCTATGTTGAAACATCCGAAGAAAAGGCGGTACAACGAGATTAACAATGAGAGAAGTGGTGCTGCGAATGAAGTTGCAAGAAAATCGGCCGATGATCGATCAAGTAAATCTCCTCATTCAAAGACTTTGAACCTTACTTAGAATCGAATGAGACCATCAAGCAAAACAGAGAATTTATTGTAATGTCCCTTCTCTTCAGTAGAATGATTTTCAGAAACATAGTTCTTAAAGTCTTTTCGCATAGAGTTTTTGTTTTCATTGTCAAGTGCAAACTTATGAGTTGAATGAGAATCTATTAACATATCTGTCATTGTCATCCAAAAATTTAATTATTAATATTTGTTGTCAGGAGAGACTCAAACACAAGATCTCTCTATGAATGTATAGAATATCAATTTATCACAACAATTCAAATTGTTATAGGAAGATTACAGTACTATATCCTTCCTTTGCCATGAGAAAACTTGACAAGAAATTCCATTTATTCTGCTGTGTTTCAGTTTCTGCATCAGATTCGAGAGATCTGCTCACTTCACTCTCCATGATACAAAACATGAGAATCTCTCAAGATCCCTTATTCATCAATTCCCCCAGCCCCAAACTAAGCGCAGAACCTAGTAAAGTTCCAATCCTTTCCCTAAACCCCTACACCTAAGAAAAACACAAGCCTGTAGTCTCATACAAAAATTGGCCTAACAACGGAAAACAAATTTGCTTCTGCAATATTCAGAATCATCAGAACCTACCCCTACTCTCAAATCTTCTTTTACCTAAAACTGTTGTGCCTGGTCGAGATCCATTCTTAGAACTCTCTCAATGTTATTGCCCAGGTCGAAATGCACCATCCCAGCACCAGAAATCCCTCCAACAGGGTAGGGATACCCATAAAACCCTGATGGCTGCTGCTGCTGCTCATACATTTGCCCACCATTCATAATCATACCAGTAGAAGCGCGATCCGGAACTAAAACCTGCTGCTGCTGCGCATACATTTCCCCACTTGTAATCAAACCAGCAGCAGCCGGATCTGGAACAAAACCCTGCTGCTGATACTGCTGCTGCTGCTGGTTGTCGAACATCTCGTTCCGACGAAGCGCCAAGTCAGCATAATGACCAGTCTCCAGATTACCAAGGATTTCCAATCTTTGCATCATCAGGAAATTCTTATCAACTGAAGAAGGGGATCCTTCCGATACCGACCCACTGAACTGATTGCTGCTCATTTCAGTATCAAACAGGTTGTTGCTGTTGATATGCCCATCTGATAAAGAAGCTCCTGAGCTCGAATCATAATAACTTCTCTCTGGTGCTAAGTACTGGTTCCCCGCGACTGACATGTCGTAGCTAACCAGCCCGACATTCGGGTTGGGCTCTGGCAGCATCTCGTCCCACATTGCAGCACTGGTGGTCATTTGCTGATCTGAAAGGGGAAAAAATGAATAGCATGTTACCTGAGAAGAAAGTGGTAGGGAGAAAAGGAAGGAGCTTTTGCTACATTGGTATTTGTTAGTACCTGAAACTGGGGATGGAGAGGAAAGCTGGGAGAAGTGCTGCTGAGGGTTTGGGTACAGAACCGGGTTGATGACCATGTTGAGGGTCGGGTTGAAATCGGGACAGAAGTCATGCAGAGGTGGAAAGTAAGGATCTTGGAGACTGGGGAATGGGTTGCGGCTTAGTTGAAAGAGCCTTTGGTCGGCTAGTAGAAGCTTTTCATATGGCTTCTCTAGCTTCCCTGGTGGAAACACTATTTCATGCCTCCTGATGAACAAGAAGATATTAGAGCAAAAAAGGAATCAGTGGAACTGTAAAAAAATTTGTGTTGCCAATTGTCGCAGATTGTTAAAAACACTGTTTTCTCATCCTAATTTCCATGGAAACATAATACTTTTTTTTTATAAGCACGGAAACATAATACTTCGAATTGTTGAAAAAGCTGGTATTGTATCACTATGTCACTTAAATAAAAAATAATTTGCCTTAGTGAACTTGAAGATAAATTAAGCCATTAATATTTAGTAGTCATCAAAAGTTGAATGCAAAGAGCATATATTATCAAGAACCAATATACTCAGATATGGCTGGGAAAGGTATTATATTGTATGTCTTTTTCTTATTTGTCTCGTGAGACAAAACCAATTTACATAAATCCGTCATAATTTTAAAAGAAAATCAAGTTGTTAAAGGTAAGGGTTACTAAAATTTGAAAAACACAACCATCTGACGATTTATCTCGAAAACTCGATGCATCATAACTTATACTTACATTAAACAGTTAATGTTAGAGATTTTCATAATTCAAAATAATGATCAAATTAATATTCAGTTTGTCAAAATAACTCCACATACCTACCATAACATATATGTGGATTTAGCTCTAAGTACTAAGAGTGATTATAGACCAAAACACATTTTTATGTCAAGAACAAATTGTTGCTACAACAATTCATATTGAGAGTTCAAAAACACATAACTCTACTATGAATCATAGCTATATATACTAAGTGGTTATCAAAATTTCAAAAGCAAAATCTTATCACAACTCCACCATTTGTCAATTACTATTTACTATTATCTACAAATATATAATAATAGAGTTGATAGTAATTTTTCAACATTTCAAATCTTCTTCAACTATAGTGAATGTAAGAAAGGTAGATTTGTCTTACTCATAGGAAACAATATACATCGATCCTAAGATTTGACAATGGTATCTTTAAACAAGGACATGAATCATTACCAATTACATACACAAAGTTTATGTATTTTTTTAAACTAAGAGCGTACACAAATCTAAAATCTTAAAAACATATGACTTTTCCATTACGGTTAACTAGCTCACTAACTATTTCATAAGTATTTGTGTGGTGTTTGACATTCGATTTTCACATTTTGATTATTTTAATTCGATTATAAAAATTAATTTAGTAAATAGATAGAAATACACATTTCAAATATTTTGAAACTTTAGGATGTATATCATAAACACCTCATATTCAAATGGCATTCCGAACGAACAATGAGTCGTGCACCAAACTAGGACTTGGTGTAAACTCATAATATGATCACGTGGAATGAATAACTGGACTTTGTATAACTTGTTTAAACCAAGTCGATAATATTAAAAGCTAAGAATTTACACACACATGACACATACCATTTTCATAAATAATTGGGATGATTATTACAGGTATGAGCAAAATCCATGAATTCACGAACATGCACTAAAAAGAAACACATACGTCGAGAACCAATTCGTTCAATTTACCTACCTGCATTTCGAAGCTTCACCGCCAGTGAAATCTGATGTCGGCGTCCAGATTGTGTGCTTTCTTGGCTGTGGATCCTTTTCTAGAAAGAAACTAGGACGTTGCTTCAACTGCAACATAAAATCACACAAACCCACTTAATCAAAACCCACGAAATGAAAGGAATCAGGACTACAAAAAACGAAGGAAAACCGCCATGCCTCGACACGAAGAACTCCAGGCTCGTTTTCACGAATACAGGCGTCAATGGCAATGATATCAGACCACTGAACTTCAATCTTGCTCTTCAAACTTCCTTCCAATATCTCCCAGACCAGTTTCTCCTTCTTAAAATAACACTTCGCCACCACATCACTCTCGTTCCTCGCAACTCTCTGTTTTCACACACGCAGCAGGGGAGGGAAAAAAAAAAACAGAGTCAGAACAAAACTTTTGAAACCCATATGAAAATTGGAAGCGGAATTCACCATTTTTAAAAGAAATTTACCTCCCAAGAACCGATTTTCAGCACATTTACGGGTTTGGTTGCAGGTTTCTGCTTCTCTGAAGCGGGCTGAGAGCCGGGATCCCTGAGCCAGGTTGTTTCAATTCGGGGAGCATTCAGCTGTCTCTCCATCCAGCGGGCCAGTTCGGGAGAATTATTGAGTTTCAATCCGAGTGGGTTCAATCTTGCGAGGTATTCTGGCAATCTCAGCTGCAACAAAAAAGAAAACGAATCAAAACCCAAGAGGATTTCAAGAGAAAGAAAGACGAAACTCGTTTCACTTCTCCTCCATTGCCAAGGGGGGAAAAGAAAGAAAGAGAAAAGAAAAACAGAGTATCTTGAGGGAGGGGAAACCTGCTCAAGAGTGTAGTTAAAGGTTGAATCTGTAGCATGGCTGGGATTGGGCATGTTCGTAACAACGGAAGAAGAAGAAGAATTCTCATATTCTGGACGGTAGTAATTGTAATTCTGAATCCGGTTCTGATACTGGTACTGTTGCTCTGCATTTTGGTTCCAGGGGAAATTCGGGTCAGGAACATAATCCTGAACCATTGTTTTCCTCCCGAAGATTTTCTTTCTTTTGTCAGATGAGGATCTAGGCTTAGATTTCAGAGGAAACCCAGTTGGATTATGACTTGAAAGGAGAGCGAAAAATGAATTAAAAATGGCGGCGGACTAGAATTTAGGGAGAGAGGAGAAAAAACAGAGTACGAGTGAGAGAGAAAAAACAGAGGAATAATCTTTTTTCCTCTCTCTCAATTTATAGAGTTATGATTTCAACTAAATACTCTGCTCTCTTGATAATTTTGGCTTTCATTAATTTATTTCACTGACTTTTTTTTGTTTATACTTTATATTTATGCCATTAGGGTTGGGTTGAGTAGCGGTTGGGACTAGACCAAACTAATAAGAATCGTGGTACAATACTTAAAAATATCTTAGGATAATGATCAGACCATCATTGCATTCGATCCAGTATGGTATGATCAAAATGTCAATTTGGTTCATTTTCTTCAGTATTTATAATATTCATGGGTTCGTATTATATTTGGTTTAATTTGGTCTGACCAAAGGTCGATTTGGTCCGGTCCAAATATCGATTTGGCCCAGTCCAAACGTTGATATGATTCGCTTTATGTTCATGCTTTTTTTAAGACATTCATATTATATAAATGTCAATATATCTAATCAAATAATTATTCATGATTTTGTCCCTTATTCAATATTGAAGAGCGTCTATTGATAAGAAGGAAATCATTCGATTGCAGCTATTCACAGATATCTTTCCATATTTAAAGACCGAAGAAAAGAAAGACAACAACGGCTAGCAAAGTAAATTGGGAAAGCAAGCAACGGCTAGTAGAGGAACCACTGGAATATATTGAGACTATTTTTTGGTAAAAAATGGGATGCTAAAAGGGCGCGCCGCTGCATGATACTTAAATTAAACGGGTTTGAGCAATGCTCAAATTATCATACAAAGTTTAAACCCGGATCTGGAGGTTCAATAATATGGAAACCTATCCTGAAAGAGTGACCTATATTAGCAAGATAATCTCCTACTTTATTACACTCTCTATAACTATGCGAAATGCGCACTTCCCACTATTTCTTCATCAATTCCTGGAATTGATGATACAAAATGTAGTACATGTCATTGCTCGTCTCTGGTGACGTCAATATGTGAAAAGTAACCATGGAATCAATCTGGAGATGAACTTTTGTGTAGCCTCTTTCCCATGCGACTTGTAACCCATGTATGGCATGGCACCTTCAATCTCAACCCGTGTGATACTGCATGTTCCAAGGTTCGATACAAAGGTGGCCAAACATCTACCAATATGATCATGAATGACCCCACCTGCTGCTGCTTCTGAATTCGGTTGTTTTACTGACCCATTTGTGCTTATTGTAACCCATCCTGGTGGCGGCGGAGTCCAGAATAGGTTACTCAATCTCTTGCTCCAATGTTCTTGATGTATTTGGTCATCTTGTTCCTGCGCTTGAGCAATTACTCTTGTCTAGCTTAGAATCCTTTGAGCTAAGATGGAATCATCCTGATATTTATGCGGGAAGACCCAAAGTGCAAAATCAAGACCCAAAGTGAGATTTATTTCCCCAATACCCAAGGTTCGCCATATATATATGAGTTTTCATTGGGCATTACCGAATAATGTGTTCCACTGACTCCGAGGCTTGATTGCATAGGTCACAAGTGTCATTGGTACTAAGCTTCCTTCTTTTCCTTTCGCATGCAGTTTGTCATCACCGGTTATGGAAAGCTATCCATAAGAAGTGTTTAATTCGGTTGTGGCCATTCCATTTCCAAAGGCTCTTCCAGATTGGCTGTCCAATCTCGTTGGTCACCTCCTTATCGCCTGAATGAATCCGCTCAGTCACTGCCCGCTAGGCTGATTGAAGCCGAAATCGCCCATCACCCTTTAATCGCCATGTCATTACATCTTTAAGTTCAATATTAGGAGGTTTTGTTCCTACAATCAAATAAATCATAGTATTAGGAATGTGAGAAATGATTATGGACCACCTCCACTCACATGTGTCAGAGGTCATCTGTGCAATTGACACCTCCTAGTCAATGTTCAAGCTAGTATCCAGCACATGGTCCCTAAGGATTGTGCCATCAGCCAACCAATGGTCTGTCCAAATTTCACATTTCTGCCTTTCAAATACCCAGACAACACCTTGCTTCATTATTGGTAGGGCATCTAATATTCCTTTCCAAAGTCTTGGGGTCTGTGACATGGTAATACTGCCATCCCCACTTTCTTAGTATATTTGAAACCAAGAAGGGCACTAATCCTGGCCTTCATACTATCCTTAGTATTCTTGGAGAAGAACATGCAAGACTTGTCTTTGTTAATTTTCTCTCCGGATGCGTTACAGAACTTGTTCAAGCAATTCGAAATAGTGTTTTTCTGCCTCGGATTCGCCTCTCCAAAAAGCACCAGATCCATTCTTCAATAAGGAGATTGGTTTCCAATCACCTCTCTCTACTGAATCTTTAATACAATGATTAAGTCGTTCAATACATAAAATAAAGAGGTAAGGGGAGAGAGGACATCCCTATCTAAGTCCTCGAGCCGGTTTGAACTCTTTTGTGTAACTGCCATTCCATAATATTTGGAAACTCGTTGTAGTCACACATGCCATAATTAGTTTAATGAAGTCCATTGGTAGCCCAACCGCACACAGTGTAGAGTACAAAAATCTCCAGCTAATCCTGTCATAAGCTTTTGCTAAGTTGATTTTAAGATCATGGTACCCCGCTGCCCCTTTTCCTATTCATGGAGTGGACAACTTCCTGAAGGATGATTATGTTGTCTGTTATGTGGCGACCTGGCACAAAGCTTGTTTGATTTTCGTCCACCAGCTTAGACATAAAATGTTATGGGACAATCCAAGTACCACACCGGTAATACAAAGGAAGGGACCTTGTATATTAGTGTCCACCTAGACCAATTAGTACGAGGCCTTTTGGGGACAACACCCAAGAGTAAAACCGTGCGGGCTTGGCCCAAAGCAGAAAATATCGTACTAATTGAGCTAGGTGGACACTAATATACAAAGGTCCCTTCCCTTGTATTACCGATGTGGTACTTGGATTGTCCCATAACAATCCTCCCCTCAAGACAAGGACCACGAACATCGTGTCCTCACTTCAGCGATTATCTTGATCAACCAGACACCTTGTATCGATGGGCTTTTCGGTCAAGGATTTTCCCAAACGTAGAACTCTCTTTGATCTGCCAAACGAACGTGGATCTCTCCACCAGACAAACACGGACCTCCCTCGATCCGCTAAACCATATGTAGCCCAAACGTGGATCTCTCGTGGATCCACCAAACCAAACGCAGATCGCAAATCCTGAGGTCACCGATGAGCCCCGAACCGAACTAGGCTCTGATACCACTTGTCATAATCGGGCAGCCCATTAGTACGATATTGTTCGCTTTGGACCAAGCTCGTACGGTTTTACTCTTGGGTGTCCTCCCCAAAGCCTCGTACTAATTGGGCTAGGTGGACACTAATATACAAGGGTTCCTTCTCTTGTATATTTGATGTGGTACTTGGATTGTCCCATAACATAAACACTTTCAGCCTGTTAGCTAGACACTTAGCAATTTCTTTGTAGCTAACATTGCACAGTCCTATTGGCCTGGATCATGCCATGGTTTTGGGTCGGTTAGCCAGATGCCTGAATTGTAGCTAACTATGAAGACCATTGATGTGGATGTTTGTAGTGGTATTAATGCAATCAAATATAAGCAAAGTTATAAAATTTCTTAGATATGTCTAGGTTCGTATACCATAAGGTTTTTTAATAATAACTACTCACAAGTCACAACCACTCATTTAATGCTCAAACAAAGACACAACATGAATCGATGAGTTGAAGTTCCCTATGCGAATCAAACAATTACATTTACAAATTTTGACACCCAATCCAAATACTCCAAAAGCATAAGGAAATCATTATAGACCATGAATAGATATAGAGAATAAGTTCACAATCAAACATTACATACACACCCATGACAAATCTACAAGGTAGAGTTTATCTCATAAGCAACTGATAAGCTAAAACATAGAGACATAGAGAGTGTACAAAGAGGAGCAATAAGAAAAGACTGTGTGTAGATTCATCTTCTACACCTTGATTTGATCACTCCACTTGAATCTTGGGTGAATTTGGGGTTGGACTAATGAAGAAATATCCCAAAAACCTTCCAAACTCACCTATCTCTACATCTTCATAATCCTATGTTTCTCTCTCTAGAATGTCCCCTTTCTGGAAAAATAGTCTCGAATACTTATATCCACGTGCATATGTCACAAATAATCGGTAAAGATCAAAGATCATGGTCGTAATCTTCATGGTTTACTGGTGATCTCAATATCACGATGCAATCACACGATCATGAGTTTTGGGAGTGAGATTGATTGCCTTCTGCACAAGTGCTCCTTCGTTTTACCCATCAAACGACCTTCGAATGTCTGGAAACTTCCTACAAACCTTTATTAACATGCTAGGATATCAAAATTAGATGAGAGAACACAACATAGTATCGAATGAGAGAGTTACGAGCCAAATTTCCAAAAACTTGAAAGAACCGTGCTAAGAGCTAGAATATCATCAATTAGTTATACATAGCATACTATCAACCAAAAATGTTGAAATTAAGATGATTATTTCATCAAATGCCTAAGAAATTATGTCTAAGATATGGATAAATTGCGTGTCATCATGACTCCCTCCATAAATTGACGTCTGGCCATTAGTATGAGGTGCACAACCGTTTGGTCTCTTTAGGTACTTGGCTATAATGACACAATCCTAGATAACCTCTATTATCAAAGACAGAGTGCTCACTCGCATAACGAGTTAGTTGTGGTTGTCCAGAAGTAATGGAAGATCGATTTCCATATGAGAGTCGTCGCCTTTCGAAGCCCTGTTCAACCGAAGGGAGAAGGGCGAAGGAACGAAGTTGCTCAACTGAAAGGAGAGGGAGGGAATATGTGAGCGCGAAGGAACGAAATCGCTTGACTGAAAGGAGAGGGGGAGAATATGTTCGACCGAAGGCATTCAATAGTCATGAAATTTTGAGCATGAAGGCTTCATTCGTTTGGGTGGCATTGCAATATCCCAAGACCTTCCTCTTTCTTAGTCCAACGAAGCGTATATCATTCCACTAGGTAATATTGTGCTATGCTTCCAAGCTTCCTCGGATGAAAGCTTTGATCTTCTTGTTAATGTACTATTATACTAGTCGACAAGGAGGTATGCTTGGTGTATGATGGGAGTGAC